TGTATCAAACACATTACCAAAGTTACCAAATTACATTCTTGCTTCAAATACATAAGCTGAAACTATAATAAATTTCTTTTTTATTTAGAATCTTTCACTCATTTTCTTATATCTCAAGAACAAAACCTTACTGTGTTACAATAAAATGAACAAAAACGAAAATTCTAGTTTAAAATAATTTGTTAAATATTTTGATAACACAAGAAAACAATCGCGACACATCGACACGCTTTCCGCACGCGATGCTCCAACACATTTCATACTAATGTTGAAATACAAAATCTCAATGTTTTTTTACATCAAAAAAAAAATTAAATCCTTTAAGCGGACGCTGTTTTAAGTTGTATAAGTTACTTTGCTTTTCTGACATGAGAATTTATTGACAGCACGTATTATTGCACGTGGAATATTAACCAACCTATAGTAGCAGCAAAACACGCAGGAAAAACTGGGCTGGTGTCCGTATCAATTCTAATATGTCTTAAATTTTAAGTATTAATAAAAAGTAAAGCTAATTTTTTCAATTCACTAAGTAAAAAGCGAGAAGGTATGCAAAACGTATCAGAAGGAAGCACATCGAATTTCGATGGTTCGTCACATTGAAAAGAAAAAAAAAAATTTCAGTCGGACGCTGTTCCACTGGGTAGCCAATTTTTTCTAAGAGTTAATTGCACTCTACAGTTAAACTAAATACACGCGTGCTCAAAATAAAAGAAAAATTACGATTTCTTATTCTTGCATGAAATTAGAATTTCTCAATCACACTTATAATCGCAGGTGACGTATCTACTTACCTCATTTTCAATACGTTTATTTCATGCACAAGTTAAATGTACAGTATGGCGAATATTAATCTCTGGCTCTTGAGAGTCTTAGGTACTCGAAACACGCGATGCTAGTGTATTCGGATGTTTTTTTTTTTTTTTACTTGTGGTTACATAAAATTAATATAACTACTGCAGACACTTACGATTAAAATTCGTATTAAAAAAGTTGACAAGTTACACAAAACCAGTGCAATTTACTTAAGCTACAATCTTGTACTTTCGTATTTGTAATTCACTGATTATGAAATGTACTGAAAATATGATAGAAATTAAAAAGTAAAAGGGCTGTAGTATATCAACGTCCTCAACGCGCGTAATGTCATCAGCCCTTTTATAATTTTGATTATTAAGTAAAACATTATGAAAGTTTCAATTTTATTGTTTGAAAGTAAGTTTTTTTTAATTAAAAGACTAACGCGCGCAACGCATTCAATTTTCACGGCTTGTTCTTTGAAACATTTCTGATATGATACTAATATTTCAAAAAAAAATTTTAATCCAATTCTTTCTTAGTCAAACTTAAAGAATGAGAGAGCAGCACTGAATACACGCACTCGACGCCTGTGATCTTATTCTCTTTACTGAGTTTTTTCTAACTAGGTGATAAAGTTTAAGAAAAATTTAAATCTTATCTTTTTAAAGTAAATTTTTAAATGTAACAGAGTTGGCCTCAATAAATGTGCTCGATGTACATACTCTGTTTGCCTTGTTTGTTTCAACTTTCTGGTATGGTACGAATGTTTCGAAAAAAGTTAAAAATAATTAAATGCTAAAAGTTAAAGAGTTGCGCTGAGTACAAGCGCTAAACGCAAGAGACTTTCTTGTATCCTAGAATATTTTTCTTTTTATAATTAAGTGATAGAGTTTTGATAATGTTTAAATCCTGTGCATTTAAATTAAATTTTTAAAACTGAAAGAGTTGCGAGTATTAGAGCTGCACTATATAAATGCCAGCTATGAACGTAATTTACTTGACGTCTCTAATTGATTCTTTTGATTAGGTACTAAAGTTAAGAAAAAATTGGAATCCTTTTGTTTGAAATTAGGTTTTCAAAATTTTCCACAATGATGGCAGTAATAGAGAAATTTGAAGCTGCTTACAAAAACCCATACAATATTGATCAAATAATTAGTTATTTTACTTTCCTACTAAGAAATAAAACTGATTATTTAAGAGGGACTTTCTATGGTAATAAATAATGTACGTATTTTACACAGGATGGAAAGGATAACGCGACAATAACGCCAAATGCTTAATTGAAAGATTAAGCATACTCAAGCAAAGTTAGAAGCTTTGGTAAAATAAGAACAAAATATGGTAAAAACCGAAAAAAAGGAAGGCAACCCCATTAATTAAAAATCCACCCAGACGTATTCACCCAAAAATAAATTTGGGTGACAACCATTTTTAAATTTGTAATAGTGAAACTGTACAAGTGCTCGAGAATCTTACAATTTAATATAGCATGGAGTTGTGAGAAGAATCTATAGTACTTGTATTATCTGTGTTATAAAAAAAATTCTATTGTAACTTAGATTGGTTTCAAAATTTGAAAGTAAAAAAGCAACAAAGGAAAAGGATCAGAAAAAAATAGAGAAAGGGAAAAAAAGGACAGAGCATCTAAGAGCTCTCTTTTATGGAAAAGTTTGTAAGGAAGGGCAAATAGCTAACCTGCGAAGAAGATTAAAAGAGAAAAACCATCGTACATACAAATATTACCCTGGTAAGCCATATCTCTAACTTACGATATCATCATTACCCCTTCCCTTTTTCATGCGATCAGCACCTTTTTCAATCGCTATTTTCAAAATAGATCCCCCGGCAAAAAACTAACCCTTATGGAAACAACTAACGCACCTGTAACTATAAAAAGTTATCATCAGCCTTGATCGTATAATTTTGTCATCTCCCAAACGTTTTCTCAACCAACTCTTACACCCAATGTATATAATTTCAAAAAGATATCACCCCTTCCCCCAATCCGAATAGTTACTACTGCTAAATAAAGTTAACTCCTAACCTACATCCCAACGAAAACAAAGACTTTGACTCTATTATAAAATCAGTTATTTGCATTCTACTCCACTCTGATTTGAACTGAAAAAACATAATCTCTCAAACAACTAACCCACCCATCTTCAACCTTAACAATAATATGAATACCAGTACACCCACTATAGTATCTTTTTCTCAATTTTTAGGGGGGGGGGGGGCACAAAAGGTACATTGATTGATACGATCTAGTCGTACCATATTTTTAAGTATTTATTTATAAAATAATTGAGCAAAGAGTAAATCAACACTACCTAAAAATCTTTTAAAAAATTATGAATTCAAAGACCACGCACCATCATGGTAAGGTTAATAAGCTAGACAAACACTAAAGCGCAAATGTAAGAAATGAGATAAATCCTTTAGAGAAACAGTGCCAAGAGAGTATAACATAGAACGATAAATTATTTAGAGCAGTACGAAAAAGTGCTCAGAGGCAACTAAATACGATCAAAGTTAAGTGAGTTCTAACTTAATGAAAAAATAATATAAAGAGAATTTGTATTGACAAAGATATATGGAAAGGAGCGTATTATTACTTGACCTGGTGAGCGTACTCTTGTCAACAAACCTGTGACTTTAAACCATCCCTTGGAACAACAAGTAAAGTGACCCAGCTTTAAATGAAAGGAATAAACGTTTATAGAAACAAAGGAAGTTACCATGAACTTCCTTACGACAAGAAGCTTACATACGTTAGGCAAATTACCTTGGGAGACAATCAAGGCATACAATACCCCAGAAATCTTAAGTACGACTTCTACCATAGTCAGAAGATACGTACAGTGTTACCACAAACTAGCTGATTCAGTAAAATTAGTTGTGATCAGGAATACCTCAAGATAAATTTTTGCCAGTAACCTAACAACCATAAAATAATATATTTCGAATTTTGTGTTATAAACTGTAATATTACATTTAGTAACAGCATAAAACACATAAAATATTTCAAGAAATTTTCTTATTGTAAACTCAATTGAATGAATTGTAATTCTTTAAAAAGATAAAAAAAATCGTGTGTTCATTTATAGGTTTTCTATTTCTTATCATTAGAGAAACATGGGTAATAGGTTTATTGGGATGGATGATGGGTACGTGTAATAAGTTTTGCGTTATTAAAATATCCAGTAAGTTGGCTATTAAACGCAATATAACAATAAAAATAGACGCTACAACGTTTTCATATTTTATTTTCATTAATTTTATTATATTTTCATCGTTATCATTAAATAGAAGAGTATAATACCTAAGACCCTAACAAATATTTTTCTAATTCAAATAAAAAAGTATGATTAATTTCTTTACTAAAGCGCTAGTCTAGTCTGCTCATAATAAAGTTAGGGATATTGGAATGATTTTTTAAGACTGAGTCATTACAAGTACTGGAATTTTTTCAGAACTGTTAAAGTATTTTTCTTCATACATCTAAATCTATGATAATTTTCCGGTACAATATTTGGAATTATTTTATGCTTATTGTTTTTAAAATAAAGTAAGCGTTATGAAATTGGCATTTAGTCCAACAAAACGTCACTTTAACTCACAATTTTATATTTTGTTGAGTATATTTTCTCTATCTAAAAAACCAGGTCTTTACAATCATATAACTTCTGCATCTAATTCCTCAAAAGAAAACATTTTCGTATCAGTAATTGAACTAGTTACTACTACGGTTTGTAGAAAATTTTTAAAAATAGTTATAAATTTATTTACTAATTTAAACTGGGAAATTGTAGACTAAAATAATTTTTGTTCTCTGAATTTATATAGCATCAGCTAATCTACTAGCTTTAGTTTCTAGTACATATACAAGCTTCTCATTTTTTTTTGCTTGCAAATTCTAACATCCAAATACTATTTCAAATATCGTTAGCATAGAGATCTAAAAAAGGTATTCTGAGCAGAAAAGTGAAATTTTTCTCCCTCTAGAGAGAATACGACTAGCCTAATATACTTGACAAAGAAAAAAGAGGTTCAACAGTAAAATGTGTCATTTTTTAAATCTGTTAAAAATGAGCTAAGCTACTTGGCACTTACTTATTAAAATCTATTTCTTTGGGTGTCTGAATCAGCGTATTAAATTACATTTTGTGTAGTAAATATATAAAGGATATTCTTACCTTCAAAATGCAGTTGCTATTCACCAAAAGATTTCCTGGCTTTATATCTCTATGCAAAATCCTAGCAGAATGTAAATATTTGAGACCTGTAACCGAAAACACATTTCTCATTTTAGATACAACATGCATTCTATAATATTATGTATAGGGAAAGGTAGGGTATACAGAACCAGGCGGTTAGAAGGCGCCCCCTACTTTTCTAAATATTTAATTACTTTTGGATATTCCTTTATTTTTTTATTAGCAGCAGTAAACATAAGGTGTTTGTAGGGCATGAGGAAGTTTTAAAAAGTTACGTAGTTTTTTAGTAAAAAAAAAGGAAAAATTTAGAGGTTAATGTTGTCATTTGGCGTCATTTTTGAAACTTCTGGAAAAACATGAAAAAACCCTTAAATGGATTCGAAAATGTATTTAATCGAAAGTTGGAAGTTGTAACTTTTAATACAAATTTTAAAAATTGTTATAACTGCAACTGAATGTCATCATCGAGTATTAAAAAAAAAAAATGTGGGGCATTTATTACCGCAGCTGGTGGGGCAGACACATTCCAATTAACGGCTCTGTTTATACTGCGTACCTAACCTCTCCAATGTCACTCCATGACACTCAACTAATTGAACGTAAATTATAGTGAAAAATTTTACTCATAGCATACACAAATAAGTAAGGACTGAGGGTGGATAAAATTTAAGTCTCCTTCGTTAGCCAAATCGGCAGAGCAATAATCTAGGAATCAGAAAGTAGTAGGTTCAAATCTCTCACTCAAGAGTGATTTTTTCATCCTTGATTATGATTCACATTTTATTAATAAGAAATGTTCTTGTATTCTTGTCTTAATATCGTTGAAATTGATGAATTATATTATTAACTATAAGGAAAATAGGATTATAATAGGGTAGTTCATAAAAAATTGAATAAAAAAATTAAAAAAAGATATCTCTGCCTGGATAAAAACGGGTGTACATTCATTTATAATAGTATTAAAAATCATTTGATAAAATATCCATTGTTTATCTTGAAGAGAACAATTCAAAAAAAAAAAAATCAAAATAAACAAAAGTATTTTCACATAATGAACTGTTGTATACGTACAGTATAGTCTAAATAAACAAATTTAGATTGTGTATCAAGTAAAATCATCACTATATATATTCACTCATTGTGTACAGTCGTCAAAATTTGACATCTGATTCTAGGGCTCGGTATGCTGCCTACAATCAATTCATGAGTAGGAGTGGTCAGTCTATCTACGAGTGCTTTTTAAATTTTGATTTGTCTTATTGCACGTTTTTTTCGAGCATTTACTTTTACGATGTTAAGTATGCTCCACTTCCCTAATATTATTCTAGATAATAAGAAGTAAGAAATCCGATGTTATCTCAAGAAACTAATTAAAAATTTATAAGATTGGTTTTATAAAAGGAGATTTGGTTTTGGTACATTTTAATTTAAAGCCCATTATTTTACAACTTCTGACAACAAAACTAAGATCATAAAAAAATTTACTGAACAGCTACCTACTATAAAATAATTTATTGTATTGAATAATAGTGTATTTAATTAACATTTGTGCTCAGCCAAGTAATTGTTTCTTAAAAAAAAATTTTTAAAAATGTTAAAAATACGGATTACTGGATAGTAGCAGAGAGAAAGGATAAGGCATATAGAAAAATAAAATCAGAATGCAATATATGTTGCACATAACAAAAAATAATACGCATATCTCCTACACCCCCCATATATATACGCATAATACAACAAGCACACTAATATAAAAATGATGTAGTATTGAAGCATAAGCCCAAGAGGGCCGAAAGTTCCTCAATTCAAACCTAATTGCGTTCAAGTCAACTCCAATTTTAACTGTCTACATTTTACTTTAAGGACGTTCATAACAGTTAGAGGGAGAATGTAGAGAGTGCAATGAGGGGGAAGCGAGCATGCGGCAGCGCCAGCAACTGTTTTGCATTCATTTGTATACCTGGATATAGGCGTGTGACACTGTTTTTTTTCTTGAATTGCAAAATAACTTGTCAATCCCTCTTAAAATTAAATATAATACCAGTATTATGGTATTGCATCATGCAAAAAAAATAGACGAATTCTACCAACCATTTTCTCATGAATTTCATTTTTGTGGGACTCTTCCATAAGGTTACGTGTTAAACTGAAGTTTTTTAACATTAAATATCAAAAAAACGGTGTTGTGAAACAGTTTTAAATTTTACATGTGACTTTCTAACATTATTACGAATACCCTGTCAAAATTTCAGGAAGATTCTAGTCAAAACGCTATGTGTAATAAACATTCTTAATTACATACTTATTGTCATTATATTTACTATAATAGGTACACACATGGATCAATACCAATTTATTAAGCGTACATTTTCTCACTTCAGAGAATATTGCAAATTGATATCCTTACTTCAAGCATGATGCACTATACTTTTATACAGTATTATAACGTACTATAGCATATAGTTATCCATCTATGCATCCCCTCTTGTTTAGGCCCGAAAGGATATAATAGCAGGAAAAATAAGGAGATAGAAGCTGAGAGTTGAGGCCAGTCCGTGGGAGCTAGCAAGCGAGTCAGTGAGTAGACAGTAAGAGAATCGATCAGTAAAACACTCGTTTCTCACTAATATAAGTAATAAAGGATTGTTCGATATAAAACGTCCTTGTTATCTTGTGTGCACCTCAAACCACCGTTTTCCCACGTAACAGTTTGGTGTTTAGTGTAGGGTTGGCTTTTTTTGCATAAAACTCAACAAAAGCTTGAACCAACGGCAATTTTTTTAGAGCACGATTTCAAATTGGTAAAAAAAATTTTGAACCAAAGATCTTATTCAAACAGAAAAATTAGAACTTAAAAACAAATGAAGCAACAAATGAGGTTGCCGCGTTGGGTAATCTAATACCGGGAGTTTACAATTTAAATTTAAGAGAAAGAAGTGAAAGGAAATAGTGAAAAGTAAACAGTGATTTAGAGGAATAAAATAATATAAGAAATTTACATAAAGGCGTAAAAAAAATAAGCGGAATCAGACATTTCTACAAACTAAACGAACGGGAAATAAAAATTTCCTAAGACACTTTAACAACGATGACAACAGTAGATTCGAGGAGGACGCGTGTATGACAAGACCAGAGGGTACAAAAACGAATTACGAGCAGTTCTATCGTCCACAATGCAACTGGGCTCTATTACAACAGTCGAAACGATAACAGTTTTTATCCCGAGAATACTAAGAATAAAAGGTTGATGCTTGGATAAGATGAGAAACTACTTTACACACTTAAATAACCATCTAAAATCCAAATGCCCCATTTGATAGTTTGCTGGAGCAACCAATAAACCAGCAGATAAAAAACAGCTGACTAAAGGTAACGTTATACAAGAATTTTTCCAGCACTAAAACGTAAGACTCCCTCTTCATATGCATCGGCAGCCGTCAAAAAGCCAATTTTTTTTACAAACAAATTTTAATATTTTAACGGATCTGGATACAGAAGGTGCCACGAGCAGTATACCACTGAAAATAGTGGATACTCTGTAAAGTTTCCTTCGTTCAAAAAAATTATTAGAACTATAAGATCAACATTGCCAGTTCAATATAAGAAAAATTTTACAGGACTTTTGGGGAATAAATTATGGGGAATAGCAACAGAACAGTTCTGCGTGCGAATATCATTATTTAACTCTATTAAGTAGTTTTTATCTGCTCTCTTTCAGAGATTTAGTAACATGGGAGGGGTGGAGTTAATATTATTATGCAACGGAACAATAAACTAGTCATGGAATATTGTGCGCGTATTTAGCAGTTGTACGATAAAAATATAATGGTACATGAGGCAGACCTGTACTTGTATTAGACACAAGCCGAGTAAGATACGTCAAAAAAGAAGTCCGACGGAGAAGCGATGAGACAGTTCTTGTATGGCTTACAGGCTCCATATAACTAGAACGTAGCAGGTTTCCAGCCAGAGACATTGTAAGCGACTATTGAAGCAACTATTACCCTACGTAATGAATCAAGTTTCCAGCAGTCAACAATAGCACAAAAAAAAAGGTTAAGAACAAATGACACCAAGAGACAATATGGCACTGTTCACTTAAGAGTGAATATTATGAGAGAAGGCTGTCAGGATCAGTGTAGTTAACGCGTTCTGTAATGTCGGCGCGAGGAGATGGGAGCCTGGCGTAGTGGGAGCACACACACTTGGTCGTTGACTCAGGTAATTAGTACAATACCAGCAGGTGTGGGTGCTTCCTCTCCCTCTCCGGCCTCGAGCGGCGAGTATCTTTGCTGGCGAGTTCGCGTGTTCAGCTGAGCTCCTTCTACTAGCACGCGGACCTTCCAAGTAGCAAGTCGCTCCCGTGTAGTCAAGCTTGATATTTAAAGTCGCTGCAGCATTTCTATGGCTAAACTTGCAACCATTGTGACAGGATCAGGGCAGCCTTCTCATCGTCGTTAAATTGTCGTCTAAGGTATAGCGCACACTTCTTTGAGTAGAGGTGATATTGTTAACGAATTAAAAGGTTAACCGGATCAGCCTGATTCTTGGAGGCCAGCTCGTTCGACTAGCTTCATCGTCGTCTCAAGCTGAGCCTTTTTAAGGTCTTACTTGCTTACGATTTAGTCCAAGGCCATCTCGAACGACTTGCTACATCGTTGTCTCGAGCTTCGTCCTTTACACCACGTACTGAGATTCGTGTTTCCTCGTAGCGAGCTGTTGGTCAAATTACATTTTGTACATCATTTTGTTAAATACAACTTACCATTACTTAATAGTTGAGTTTGGTTAATAATCTCTTGTCAATCCCATGTAAAGTAAGAAAGGAGATTTTTCGGAACTGGAGCATTATTATCCAGGGAGAAAAATTTAAATGTTCATTCAAATTTTTGAGCATTAAAAAACATTTCTGCTCATTTCGTGACCTTCGTATCTTCAGGTCACGAAAGCAGAAAAGGTTTAAAAACATATAATAAACAGGCACCATGGTGGACCTTGCTGGCGGCGATGCGCCCCTTAGGAAGTCCAATAAGAACGAGTGGAATAGTATGAAGGGTATAAAACG